GCCGGGCCTGGGGCCTCCCACCTGGCTCATCCCACTTCTTCCTTGGTGTGGGGGCTGCCTGTCACAGCAAGAACCAGCCCCAGGGCTTCTCTGTAGCAAGCTGAGCTCAGGAAGGGCCGCCCCGGCCACAGACATGCCCTTTCTGCCCCCAAGCACTCAGGGCCCTAGAGCAGCCACCCACAGCCCACAGCTATGGCCCAGGGCCAACAGCAAGGAGTAGTGGCCATCTGTGGGAGCCACAAAGGATTGGGGGCGGGTGCCCCAGGAGCCAGAGCAGGACAGGCGCCCCGTGAGCTGGGGCTGGTGGAGTGGGCCTGACCCCAGCTGTTAAGAGCGGACTCCCACACTGCCCTGGTGTCAGGTGTGCACGGCAGGTGCAGAGCAGCTGTCAAGTGTGCACGGCAGGTGAGGGCAGCCTCTGCCAGGTGCAGGGCAGCTCTGTCAGGTGCGCTGCAGCCCTCTACCAGGTGTGCAGCAGTGCTCTGCCAGGTGCACATGGCAGGTGAGGGCAGCCCTCTGCCAGGTGAGGGGCAGCCCTGTCAGGTGCACACTGCAGGTGCAGGCAGGGCAGCCTTCTGCCACCTATCAGGTCCCCACTGCTCACTCCCGCGTGTCACAGTGGCCTTGCCCTGCCCCAGTGGTGGACAGCTCACTGCCAGGCCTCATGCCCTGCTCACTGGCCCAACAGCAGCACCTGGGGTAAGGCAGGCAGCCAGACCTCAGCTCTTCTCAGCCCTTGCCCACTGGCGCTGTCCACGGTGCTGAACCCGCTGCCACAGGCACCGCTGCAGGCTAAGAATGGCCTGTCCACAGATTAGGATGGGGTGTAGGCCCCAGGGCCCCCAGTACACCCTGAACACCCCAGGCTATTTTCATGTTTATACGAGACCAGGAGGGCGAGCTGCAGGTCCCACATCCTGTGGACTGCCAGAGCGGACCACAAAGTCACAGACCCACTGGAGCCTGGTGGGACCCAACACTGCGTCCAAGCCGCGTGGGGACACAGGGGCAGCCCCTGCCTGTGAGGACCGAGCTGCAAAAGCTCCCAGACCTGAATCACGTGCTCAACTCATCAAGTCCCTGCAACAAGCCTGGCGGCAAGACACCAATCCCTCTAGGGCACCAGCTCCCCCGTGTTGCCATGCAGGCGCCACCCACTCGGCCCTGGCTGCACAGGTCTGATTCTGACCCGGGCCTGGGCCCACCTCTGTTCCTGCCATAACAGGTCACCGGCCCCGCAGCTCAGCACCAAGTCCTCTTAGTCCTGGACGCACACTGTGAGCCACGTCTCAGGGCTCGAGTGTGTGTGTGTGTGTGGGGGGGGGGGGCTTAGGGCTTCCAGCTGCTAGTCCCTCGTCC